TTTCCCCAAACACCCCCCCCCCTTTCATTTTTCAGTATATGTTTTCTTTAGACAGGACTTTGGCTCTCACGTGGCACAAAGGTCTTTTAATTTAATGTGCTTTTACCTGTTTTCTTTCATTCTGTTTTTCATCCTTTATTAATAAGTCATTTAGCTGTACGTTGTTTTAATTTGTTATAAAATGGCTTAGTTCCTGTGCTGGCAGAAAGGTGGGATTTAAATTAAACAAACAAACAAATTCAGGTCACTTTGAGTTGTCGAAGATTTTCATGGCTGGAATCACTGGGTTGCTGGAACATGCTACCGAAACATGGCCATACAACCCAAAAAACTTACAGCAACTAAGGTCGCTTTGCTTGAGAATGCTGTGGGTGCTATTTAAAAGTTAAAAGAAAATAGTGAATTTTACAGCTCCAGGTAACTGAATTGTATAAATGTTGCAGGCCCCTTTGCATGGCACATCCATCTGCCAAGAATCTGCCTCTTTCTACTACTTTATATGAAAGGAGCAAATCATTTTGAATTATTTTTATATTTTATTAGTATGGTTTGCTGTTTTTACTAAAAGGCTCAGAGCTGTCCAGAGGAGCTGATATTAAAGTGGAGTCAGCACTTTTTCTCCCTGCCTGCCTTGCTTTTATTACACTCTTGGCACTGCAGCTAATTTTCTAATCAAGGAAATGTGTTTGAAAGCCTGATTCATAGAGGAATGTAGGATGCACTGAATGTACAGCACATTAATTTAATCAGGTTTAAGAAACATGGCACTACTTTGAGTAGTTTTTCTAGAATTGATTCATAATGCGGGGCAAGCCATTTTAGTGCATCCTAAAACATTATGACATTGTAGCAGTATCCTCCTAAATCCAATAGTCAGTCCAGCTCTAGTGGACTTACTGAATCAGTCATGGCCTGAGAAGCTGGTTTCAGGGTTGTTGGGAGTTTTATAAGGCATATATAGTGAAAATGTACACAGTGTGCTTGTAACATTTATTTTATTTATTTACAATTTTTAATCCCGCTTTTCTTGAATCCAAAGGTGACTCAAGGCCAGGCAACCATTCAATGCCTTCAACAATATAAAATAAAAACAACAATTAAAACAGAATTTTAAAAACATACATTTGGGCCATTAAAAACATATACCACCAATACCTTCACAATTAGCCTCATTATCCAAAGTCACCATCTAAGCAATTCCAAAATTCAATTGCACATAATTCCGTGTTTGTCTATTGAACTAGGTTTCCAAAGGCTTTCTCAAAAACCCATGTTTTCACATATGCAACATATAGCCTGGTCCTGAAAGTATTGAAAGATGAAGGGCAGTTTACTCAACATCTTTTTTTTATTGCAGGTTAATATGCCAGCCACCACTCCATAGCCAAGCTCTACATGGAGCTTATCCTTAGTAATGAATCCTGTCATCCCACCACCTCAGGGGTGATTGTCTGTTCTAGCATGATTTCCTAGCCATTTTGCACACTTGAAAGAGGCTACAAAATTCATTATATAAACATTACAAGATACCAGTTGTTTTTTGGTGGATATTGGAAAGCAACCATGGGTGGTGTTACAAATGATCCAAGAGGACTTGGGTGCTGTTAGGTGAAAGTTTGTTTATCTCAATTTCAAAGTGTGTCATTTGCAAGCACAATTTTTCAACACTTCTATTTACACCCCAAAATATTAGTGTATTTCATGATAGCTGGCTGGGTTTTCTTTCCATTCTGGAGGATAATCTATTTTCACCATGAGGAATCTTTTTAGGAGGTGTCACTTGACAATGTTTTTATCATGATGCAAATAATTTCCTTTTTATAGTAGAAATAATTTCTGCGCTGTGCCTGTAGTATTCCATAGCGCACCATCTGGGATATTTTTATTACAATCCTCTCACGACTCTTTCTGGAGCTGGTGATTTGAGGATTTCAACCTTTGACTTGTGTTTTTGGGAGGAGGTCCAGCTTCAATGCATCCTCCTGCACCTTGTATTTTTGTGGTTCTGTATCTGTATCCCAGCAAGTGTCCACATCATTTGACAAAATTCTCCTTCAGCTGAGAAATATTTGAGCTTTCCTTGAATTTCTCCAGGTTTGTTGACATTCTCTTCAGACTTATATCTTTTACTATTCTGAATGGTGTTTGGACGATAACCAGACATGGGTAGATTGACTTCCATGAAACTGCATTACCAGACACTTCAGCACCTTTCCTATGTTTTTAGGGTGAGGGGCAATGTGGTACTTCTTTCTAGATGAAGGGCTGTAATCTAAACTTATTGTATACTATCATTATTAGCGGGAAGGTAATTTTGGAATGGAGCAGGAATTGAATGGTCAGCAGCATAAAGATTGCTCATTAATTCCTTCTCCTTGAGTTTGGAAAGATTACCTTTTGGGAGTTCCAGTTCTCAGAATTCTCATGGTCATTGGCTAGGTAGTCCAAAAATTAATGCTGTCATCTCAGCAATCTCCTACAGGACATGTGAATGGCAACGTAAGCATTGGCTGCTTCGCTTATACATTTCAGCTGTGCTGGTAATGCGTAGGTCAGAGAGGAAGAGAAGACGTATTAAAGGAGAAGGCTATATCAGAGCAGCTATTGCTGCTCGTGTTGTGTATGCAATTCATATAGGCTTTTCACTGTGTTCAGACTGGTTTGTGTAGGAAAATGCAAATCAGGGTGATTTGCATTTTCCTGAGAGCCAACATAGTATTGTGGGCTATGTTGGCTCTCAGACTTCAGCCAGTTTGCCACTACTTGTTTATACTTATTTTTTTTCAATTCTTAGAAAAGTTACTCTTTGGACTACACCTTGAAAACACCTCAGTCAGCCATGACCACTTTTATAAGCTGTGAATTTATATTCTGACATTCCTCCTTCAAGACACACACACTATTGTTGTAATTTGGCAAACCTGAAACAGTTTTTACCATCTGATTGTGGCCATGTTAGGCTCCTATTATCTCTAGAATTAAACAGAAGCTAAATCCGGGCATGAGAACATGAGGTGCCCTTGCACTCTATTGTCTGCAGCACCCATTTGGAGACAAAAGGCATCCTTCCCTGTGTGAGTGGTCAAGGAATGTAGCAGGGCTTTTATTCCACCCTCCCCTCTCTAAAGTGCCAGCCAGCATCGCTGAAGTGGAATAGAAGGGTAGAATATCTCATGCCAAGTAAATCCTGGTACAGATTATTCTCCCATGCTCTCTTATCCTTTAAGAACAAAAGAAGGCAACAGGGGCGAAACGTACTTTCCATTCTTCTATTCAGTTTCTGAGGTTCCACAAATCCCTTGTTGCTGGGATCGTGAAAAATCCAGTCTTCCCAACAGACTCTCTCTCATCATTTCCCAATTACCAGCATTTGTTTTGGTATTGTTTGTACTTCATAGCGGAAGAGGTCAGTATTCCCCTCATGCCAGCTGGTGTGCTGGCATTACAACTATTTGCTCCAGGCATGTAGCTCCCCATTTTAAAATAAGGCATACCCTCCAGCAGAATGAGGCAGCAAATCAAAGAGACCTGGCACCGTGTAGAGATGTGCCTTGCTGAATATCAGTTTCAGATTTCCATTCATTACCGTATTTTCTATTCGCTACATGGCAAAAATGCTTTTCAATATCTGCTCCAATTCTTGAGCCTTTTCATTCTAAGACATGTTGTCTTCCCTTCCTATTCATTCTCCATGTCTTACTGTAGGAATACAAGGCATAAGAAGGGAGGAATGTGCTATAGTACAACCATCCTTCGTGCTGCACTGGAAGGAGGGGCAGCTCATATTTGATGTGAGAGGGCAGAGGTCAGGCATCCCGGCAGGGTCACCAATTCTTCCGCAGATCATAGCTCAGTTTACATTAGAAGATTAATTGTTTTACAGCAGAACCTGACACAGCAAATATCGGCATCATATTTCTTTGAAAAAGCAAGCGTTCTGTCAAAATGCACATACAGATTTTCCCCCATGTGGTGTGCCCACTACAGAGCCTATTCAGTCAGTGAGAGTAGATTAGGTAAACAAGGGTGGGAGGTGGTGTGTTTTGGTTTTTGAACTCCTTTTTACTGAAAGTTTCTCCAAGTCCAGCTGTGAGGCTTTTCCAGAGAAGGCACAAGTATACCCTCTGACATTTTACAGAGGGACACATGTGGTCAAATAACATCAGAATGTGGTTGAATGATTGAAATGAGGGAGAACAGGCAAGGTGCAGGAGTAGCTGCAAAAGTTGCTTTTACCTAAGCCTACTTGGAAGGGCAAGATTCAGCCCGCTATTTTCCCTGCTGCTGAATTTACCAAATTCAAACTACTGTTCTTTTAGCTCAGCACAAGTTGAGGACAAAGGGGGAAACTGCAAGTAGGGAAGGTAAACTAAGGAATTTTTAAAGCAGCTCAAAAGGTTGACTGACAGAGGATGAGTCAAGACTGTCCTGCCAAATCAGGATAGTTGGAGGATATTCATGAGATATGGGCCTTCCGGCAAAACCTTAAGTGTAAACATTCAGGGTCCTTTCCCTCTACTCCAGTGGCTTCCAACATGTAGGTCCCCAGATGTTTTGGCCTTCAACTCCCAGAAATCCTAACAGCTGATAGACTGGCTGGGATTTCTGGGAGTTGTAGGCCAAAACAACTGGGGACCCACAGGTTGAGAACCACAGCTCTACACCATTATAGTGCTAAGATTAAATTTTAACCACCTTGGCTGCATCCTTTAGAAACCTGGGAGGGAGCAGATCCATAGGATACTGTTTTGGTTGTTAGTGGAATCATAGCACTATACTTGTGCAATATGAGAGGTCATTAGGCAGGTATATATTTTAGTATTTCGCTATAACAATACGTCATTCATATATTTCACCCTGAGTATGAGGAATAGGGTGCTACATTTTTCTATCCAGAGTTATAAGAAGGATTAATTCACACATGGAATATAGTTGTGTTAATTCTGCTGTTTCTTTAGCTTATTTTATTCTCAGAGTGGCTGTTCTGTTTGTCTTCACAGGTTGTTCAAATGGACCAGAAGCTGAACCGCATCACAGACCTCCTGCATCACCTAGTTGCCGCCCAACAAGGCAGCCAAGGCAGCAACAAATCATCTCACAGGAATGATGTTAATCCTGAACTCTTTCTCTCGAGTAACACGCTCCCTACTTATGAACAGTTGACTGTCCCAAGGGGAATACCTGATGATATTTCCTGATGAAGCGTTCCTTTCTTTTTAATTGACACTGGATCTCATGAATCTTGATGAGGGTTGGGGAGAAATTTGAGCTCATAATCAGCCATACAAAGAATTAAACAGGTCTGCTAAACCAATGTTACTAACCTCAGATGTATTCTTTTTCCAAAGACAATGATCCAGATGACCACAAAAACCTTAAAGCCTGCACTCTGGTGTTGTTTTTCTTGTTGTTTATTAATGTGGTACACTCATAAGCTCTGTTTTTCCCTGTGTGAATAAGTTTTTATCTTACTGCAATTTGTCACTACACAGTAAGACCAGAAATGATGAAGATTATGATGGTGTAGTTAAAATATCAGCCAGCTTCTATGCCCAGTTTATAACATCTGCTGCTGCGGGCAAATCTCTGAAGTTCTGTACAAACTCGTTTGAAATGGTTTCATAACATGGCAGCAATTCTGCCAATATATTTGCACCCTATGTTTCTTCAGTGATCTTGATACTTGAACTTAGATGGCCATGTGTATATTCTGTTTATGACTCTGCTGATGGCAATAGAGATCTACTATAGAACTAGATTCCTGAAGGAAAATAATACATTGTGAAAACATACCACTGCTATTCTAGAAAATGGCAGAAGCATTGAATAATACCCCACTCTGCCCCTCTGCTTATTTTTTAGCCTGTTACATTAATCTAGTGAATGCAGGGTCAATGTTTTTTTTTAAAAAAAAACTGTTTTTCTTCAAGGAAGAACTGTTGCTTTAGGCTACAACAGCAATGTTTGTGAAACAAAGCAATGTAAATTTCCTTTTGTATGGTATCGTGATTTCATGGGGACACTAAAATATTGTGACAGAAAATGTAGGGTTTTTTTAGTCGTACAGCTGCCAAATTATTTATACATAGTATTTATCACAACCACCTGTGTGTGTGTTTGTCCTGAAAGAGATTTCAAATCAGTTGCTTTTTATACTGAGATAAGTCTAGTTTATTTCTCAGTGCACTGTAATAAACACAAGTCTAGCTTAACTGGATCTTATTGGGTAAGGGCTTGAAACTGCTACTTGCGGGAAATACTTTCAGTAGCTTTAGTCATGGGGGACTTCCAGCCAAATGCACATTTATTTCCTTGTTGGCTGGCTCACCTCTACATTATGTTCCAAAAGGGAATGGGTGGATCTTCCTCATGGTAAGATGCACAAACCTTTCGATCTGTTTAGCTGTACAAAAAAGCCCTGCTTGTTAGGTGTAGAAGTACCTTTCTCTTTACTTAACTAATCACCTCTAAGGGCTGGTTTTGCTATACACATCAGGGAATTGAAGGAATGGGTCACCTGTTCATCTTCAGGTCCTGCTGTGTAAATATAAAAAATCCATCAGATTGTGACCAGAAGGGCTGCCTATGCCTATGCCCCTTGTGGAATGTGGCTTCTGGGGGAATTTGTTTTGTTTGTGTCTTTCAAACAAAATTTCTAGCTGCCCTGGAAAATCAGCTTGAAAGTGTATAATCTGCCCTTGTAGAAAATTGGTGGCAGTTGTAGGATGGCTCTGTTACCCCACTTTATCTCAAAGGTAATCCTTTCAATGAAATAGACATATATATTTAGCTGTGAGTCATGAGGGAATGCCTATATCAGTTTCAAAGCACCTCTGAGAAATTAGAGGGAACTGGAGAAATGGGAAGAAGGCCCTCAGAGCTATGTGAGTTTACACTGACTTCTAGAAATATCTGTGTTTTTATACAATCATTCACAATATTTATATAATTCTTCTTAATAAGCACAAACTGAAATCCTGGTCTTTCTATTTTATTTTCATTTCAGGGTAGTGAATATAACAGTTAAATATGTGTTAGCATATTTGCGTGCACAAGGAACTGATCTAACATATGACCTGTGTCTGAGAATACAAGCACACCATGATATTCTTAGTAATCCAGAAAAAATGGCAACATGGAATACCTCTTACCATTCAGCCTATCTACTGTATATACTCATGTATATATATTTTTTTTACAAAAAATCAAAACAAAAAACCTGGGTCAATTTGCAAATGGGTCAATTCTTGAATAGAGACCCAGCATGAAGACACCATCTTCACCATTTTTCCGTGCGAGTGGCATAAGGACTCACTACATAAGCCTCTCTGCAGAGAGACTGCAGCAGGCATGTATAATAATCCTCTATTTAAAATGGTTTTGCAGAGGTTTATGCTGTAAACATTTTTCAGGCTACTCCAAATTGCCGCTGATTATTACTCAGGTGAAAAAAGAATGGAGGGGAAAGAGAAAGGCCTTCCTTTATTTTTCCAGTATAGATAAGGGAACTAACTGTGTTTCTATGGCTGTAGATCATCTGTACAAATACACTTTGTGATCAGTAAAGCAGTTTACACCCTCTCTGTTGTAAAGAGATCTTCTCCTCTTTAGCTCTTCTTATATGTGTTCCCTCTATACATTTCTAAAAGGAGAGGAAAAGATTGCATGCCCCCAAATTCATCCCCCAAATCTGTCCTTGACTTCTCCATGAGGTCAGCTTAGACATGAGTATACATGATGGCCTCCTTGAATATATCAACTGAATGGAATGGTTTGGATGGGGAAGGTGTACAACCTTTTCCTTTTCCCTATTGATGACTGTGATTATTCTGTTTTCTTGGCATGCATGATTACAATTCCTTTCTTCAGGAGTAGATTCCATGCAATTAACAGAAACACCATGTTATTGAAAAATTCTACCTCCCGGTCCAGTGTTGTTATGGCCCAGCATGTCATTTCCCAGTTACATGCATGACCAACACGCCTGTATGGAGAGATCCACTGTCTGAATGACTTGCTGACTTTGCCAGCCAGGAGACAGGTACTTCCAGATTGTACTCATGCCAGTGGCCTCAGCATCAATCAGGACAAAGACTCTGCAATACATCCTACTAAACAGCATTTCTTCCATTGTGTTGTAGAAGAAGGAACAGGCAGTCCTCTCTGTGAGAACTACTTCACATACAGTAGCTAGTACACAGAGTGCTCAGTGTGCATCAATGCCCTTCGAAGTGTGATGCAGCTTTTGCTTTTTCATCTTCCAATGCCTATAATGGAGGTGCAGTTGAGAAAAAAAAAGAATTTCATGTTATTTTAGATGTCCTCGTTCTAGCCCTGTCATTAGATCGCATGAGGAAAGTACCTCAGGTGGCAAATATTTTTCATGGGTTTTCCTCTGTTCCCCTCTCTTACAATTCAGAGATATATATGCCACCTACTCTGTTCCAGGGCCCTTAAACTTGATGCTACCTCAGGTAGGGTGGAAGACACATTCTTATTGTTAGCATTTCCAACATTTAGCTATAATTTCAGCCCATTTCAACAGACTTGGCATGGAGTACATTCTTCTTTGTTGCAATTTAACTTAGGATGACCCTGCATGGGTCACTGTGGCATTTTGGTTCATTTGATGCTGATGATGATGATGATGATGATATTTCATACCCCTTTCATGTTTTAATCAGTCAATCTATCCTTTAGAAATAATCCTGATAGGCCTACCAGAAACTTTTGGATTTAGATACTGTTTTAAAGGCAAACATCATATCCAGTTGACAAATCCCCTGTGGCAGATCATTCCACAAATAGTCGCTGGAGAAAATGTCCTCTGGATAAATTAACCTAATTTCGATTGAATGAAGTAGATGTCCCTCAAAACATCTGATTGTACAGAGTGGAACATCTGAGCGTACAGAATGGAGAAGCCAACCCCATACATAACCTGGACTCAAACCATATAGCGTGTAGAGGTAACACTTTGTATTTTGCCCAGTGCATAGTATAAATTTAATGTGTAAAGGAGCCCCTAAGGGAGGAGTACCATGGAAAATTCATTGCCCAGTGGAGACCCAACTAATATGAAAAACATTGAAATAAGTATTACACAGAAACTTATAGCAGCAAAGTTCCACCACTATATTTTGAAAAACGCTTTCCAAAATCAAGTCTGACAAATATAACTCTAGCAGGAAAAGATGTCATAAAGGTTTTGGCTGAATCCTATTATCCATTTTCCAATCATTTCTGTGTGCTTTGACTAAGACCTGAAAATCTAGCATTATCTGTTGATCTGTATCTGCTTGGTTCACTCTAAATTGACATATCCTCATGTTTTGCCTTCAGTAACACAATTTCTTTATTATAATAATAATTATTATTTATTTATTTATTTATATACTGCTCTATCTCCCCTGGGGGACTCAGGGCAGTTTCCAAATTGTAAAAACACAAACCCATACAGAGTAAGCAAAAAAAACCAGAACAAAACAGAACAATACAATACAAAAGCATACAATAGTCAAACAACACGTGTACAATAAAACCAATCGACCTTATGCTTCGTTCCAGGATTAACTATTAGGGCCAGAATTTCAGAAAGGACCTAGGCAGTTTGGGATGGCTGGGCTAGAGGTAGTGCCAAGTAAGCCATAGGGGGTCAAGGAAATGGGTAAAGCACAGTAACCAAACTCAAACAGTAGTACCAATGGGGCCTGTAGATGCTCATTTCCTAAACCAATTGAGAAACTGACCAGGGTAAAAGGTAGGGGTAAAGGGCCAGATTCTAACTAGTGGTCAGGGGGCTGAAGCTCATTCTCAAAGACCTGGTGAAACCACCAAGCCTTCAAGCTCTTACAAAAAGAGGAGAGGGATGGGCCTGTCGTATTTCCCTGGAGAGGGTGTTCCAGAGGCGGGGGGCCACAACCAAGAAGGCCTTCTTTTGTCCATCCTGGACAATTTCATTTAAAGAATGCGCTGTCTGAACCTTCTCTGTGTTTGTCCTGAAAGAGCTTTCAAATCAGTTGATTTTATACTGAGATAAATTTAGTTTATTTCTCAATGTACTATAATGAGTACAGGTCTGGATTAACTGAGATGCTAGACTTTCTAAAATATTGTGCAGCTCTCTCTTTCCTTTATGTGAAAATGAATATTAAACTATGGCACTAAAATGGCACTCCCAACCAACTTCTGTTTCAAAACTCATAAAATCAGAGTCCGTAAAAATCATCAAAATCATGATGGCAGTGGTGAAAGAGATGATAATATTATGACAAAATAGTGGGAACGAGTAAGAAGAAAAGAGAAAGTTATACATTTTATATATCTTTCTATCAGACTTTTGCTTTTTCATATTTCACTCATATTTTTCTTCTAGGAATAACTAAACTATCTAAATTAAGGTGTCTTTCTGTTGTTTATTTTTTTTAAAAAATCATATCCCGAGACTTCAGATGTCCAAGGCCTTGTTTGTTTTGAATATTTGCAAAATAAAGAAATTGTAAAATAAAATGTATCAGATAAAGTAAATAAAGCAAGTTCTTGACTTTTCAGTTCCATGTATTGTAATAGGACTGAATGCTAAACATGCCGATGCAAAGTGAAGGAATCATAACTGCATAATACTGTTCTTTAGTTTTGAAAAAAAAAGTCCTGAAATGGCACCAGAATTGACAGTCTGGTTTTAAGGTATACGATTGTGAATTCACAAGATCTGACTTATAATGTGATCTCACAGGCGCAAAAGAAAGCGTCCTGAAGAGTGGGGGCCCATTTTACCCCAGCAAGGTCTCTTCAGGCATAACTAGCCATCCCCTGAAGTTTCCCTGTCTTCATCTGGCTTTCATTCACTTCCTGCTACTTTAGTCAATCAGAAGTCTGTGAACACCTGACTCCTAAAAATTGAATCTTCTTATGGTCTTTGCATGCTGCCAAGATGGATTCCTCTGTGGGACTCCACTTTGCCAGCATACAAAGACTGTAGAAAAATGGGTGAAAGTTAAGGTGAGAAACATCCCTAAACCAAGTGGTTTTATTCACTGCCTCAAAGGTAAGATCCAAAGTGTAACTTCTACATTTATGAAGTAACAGGAATTGCAATCTTGTTTGATGTTCTTTCTGTGTGTTCCCAAATGGTTACCAAGAGTGGCCAACTAGATACTTCTGTAAAAGTCACAATCATACAAACACACACAAGTATATTTATAGGTATCAATAGAGCTGTCTTCCATTAATTTGTCTAATCCCCTTCTCAAACCTTACACACTGGTGGTCAACACCACATCTTTGGCCAGAACAAAACCCTTATTTGTTTGTTCACATCTTAATTCATAACTTAGTTCCAAAGCCAAATATGGGGTTCGACTAGCCATCAGTAGTCCACCCAGTTCCTCCTGTGCATTGGGCAAAATCAGTACATTTCAGTGATGCCTGCGTAGGAAACTTTGAAGTGTATTAAAACTGCCTTAGTGGCATGCAGAATCCACTGCCAGAAACAACATCTCATATTGATTCACGGTTGCCTCATTGGTACACAACAGATATATGTGTAGCATGAACTTTCTAGGAATTTAAGAATTTTGTTTTTCTTTTCTAGATAAGAAAACACTTCTTCAAACATCTCTAAAAGAATTGTAGCATTTGTTTAGAATTACTCACTTTTCCTGTGTACAGTAGACACATTTTAAAGGGTGGAGACACTTTTTAAAAACTCTTTAAGTGGAAATTACTCTGTGGCATTATATTTTATAAGAAATCAAAAGCGACAAACTGTTCTGATTTTGAATCTGCTTTTAAAATGATGTTCACTATTGTAATTTGAGATTGTTAATTTCCTAATAAAATATAGAACAAGAATTGAATGTATTTTTTTTAATGGTCATAATTTCACTGGTTCAGTTTGCATATAAGGAATTTGCCTTTATCAGGTTGGGGCAGGTAATCATTTGCACTGTGTTCCAAGACCTGATCTGTGTCATCAGGCAGGAACTCCTGTCACTGCTATTGCTGATTGCAACAGAGAGAAAGAGGGGGTGGCAGTTGGGCCCCTGCCCAGCAGCGCTGAACTGGGACAGCCTCACACATCTGAGATGGCTCAGGGTGTCCCTGTCAGGCTGCAATCTGATCTGGAACTAGCATTTTGGACACTGGTTCCAGCCCGCATTATGTAGAAGAACCACCCATCCATAGAAGGCTAATTGGAATTATCTCTGTCAAATCGGGACAGCTGGGGTATGGTAAATGTTGTAAAATGTGATTGAAGATACCCCATGATGTGATTTTTGGATTTTGTTTTATGGTAACACAACTATCCTGACATTTATCATTTTTAATCCAGTTTATGTTTCTACCAGATTTTGGTGAAAACTACTGGCAATACTTTATTCAAACCTGTCAAGGAAGGCAATCTTGCATTGATTTAGTGAATTTCTTAGTATTATTACTACTTACAACAGGAACTGCTGGCAGAAATATCTCATGCATGTTCTCTTTCATTCTAAAGTGAGAACACTACCAGAATCTGGTATGGTTCGGGCAATTCTGTGCTGCAAAGCGAATCAAGTGCAATCTATGTGTAATACCTACTCCTTTTGCTATGGAATGTAATTCTATTGGGTTAGGAGAAGATTCCTTGGGTTATTGCCTTTATCTGGGAAAGATGAAGATTGGGTCAGTTAAGGCTCACTCGCTTTCAGCAGAGTTCACAAGGGAAAATGTTACATATCTTTGGGTCCCTCTAAGTCTAGTGTCAGCAAAATAAGGCAAACTCTAATGTAGATTCTGAATATCTGTACACAGGCTGTCTAAACCCTGGTCAACTAAAGGGAATTTTCAAGTTGAGGAGCAGCTCATAGAGGAAGGAGACAGGAAGGAATATTTAGATAGCCACAGATACCTGATCTTACTTGGATACATGGATGCATTGACAAATCTTGCTTTGCTACTGGTGGTGGATTAAATGGGGAAATACTGTCTAAAATCCCAAATGGTGGGAAATGCTTCATTAAGCAGTATTATCCAAGGGGGGGGGGGGCGGGTAGCCCATTTCCTCATTATATCATACCCCTCCTGAGTGCAATATTTTGACCTAACAACTGCCATTGGGGATTCAGAGAAGGAATTGTTTATTAGTTGGTTATGGGGGAGTTGGGTGGTGGGACAGAGAGTAAATAAAAAACAGCAGCTGAGTGAAATAACAGAGGACAGAACTGTTACCAGCCTTATATAGCCTTCACCCAGCATCTCTAAGGCTAAAGCGATACAGACTGAAGCCTATAGATGCCTTCTAGCCCAGGAAAGCCCAATGAAATGGGCCCTAATTTCTCAATAGAATTTGATAGCTAATTGGAATTGGTTCCTTCCTCCCTACTTCCAAGTGTCTGTTCTTCTGTGAATTTGGAATCTGCTTCCCGACTTTTACACACATACATGTGCAAGCAACCTCCCATGTAAGGGAGAATTGCAACAGGGGCTTTGCTGCTAGCTTTCCCACCAAAAATCACTCAGGGGGAGGGGATGGTACTTCCCAGGAACAGACTCTGTCTATTGCTACAAATGCTGCTAAGTAAATTAAGGGCCCTTCCGCACAGCCATATAACCCAGAATATCAAGGCAGAAAATCCCACAAAATCAGATTGGAACTGGGTTATCTGAGTCCAAACTGCGATATATTCCAGTTCAAAGCAGATAATGTGGGATTTTACTCAGCTATATGGAAGGGGCCTAAGAGTTTCAAGAGACTGAGAGACAACTACTTAGCTACTCATCTAAAATGCTTATGTAGATAAGTGGGCAATGCAGACTCACATGCAATATTTTTTACTCTGTTGGGGGTTTTGCTCAGTTTTCAAAGTTTTGTGATGGTTTTTGATGAAATACATTTTTTAAAAAAACACAGTACAACTGAACTATCTATGAGTAAAACTAATGGATGAGAAACATGGAAGGCCTCTTCAACAATTTCCTTGAGGAAGATAAGAATAAAAATTCATAAAAGAGTTTAATGTGTAGATTTGTATTTGTCCATTGCTAATAAAGACTGGTTCATAATTAGTTCTTTAAGCAAGCCCAGTTAGATTCCCCAATGTTCTGATGATGAGCCGTCATACATTACACCTGTTGATGTGATAATTTTTAAGTAAACCATAATGATAATTATGCTAATCTTTTCCCAATGCCAATAAATAAAGTTTTTTTTCTGAAAAAAGAATGGTTTGATAAATTGAGTTTTGAAACTAGCCAATAAACCTCTTTCACTCTGACCAAGGTTTGCTTGATTTTTTTTCTAGTAGTTCTAAAGTAGTTTTGTTCATTCAGGTTAATGAGATATTATTTCCAAATGTTAAACATACACAGTGTCATTTTGAGTTGGGGAGCAATAGCAGAACACTGACAACTGAACATCTCATCACACTAGAGGAAAAAAATCTGCTTAAAATCTGGTTTCTGCCTCCTGCAGAATTCTGGGGTTTGTAGTTTAGTGAGGCTGTTCAAGGCACCTTCCTAAACTAAAAACCCCAGAATTCTGCAGGAGGCAGAAACAGGATTTGAAGTGGATTCATTCTCTAGTGTGATGAGGCTGTTAGGAATAAGGAAATTTTTAAGACTGAGAGATGCAAGGAAATGTAAAAAATGAGCTGGAATTTTGGGCAGGCTTGCATTGAACTAAGTCTGAATCTACATTGCCATATAATCCAGTATCTGGTACCAGATTATCTGCTTTGAACTGGATTATATGGCAGGGTAAACTCATATAATACAGTTCAAAGCAGATAATCTGGGATCAAATACTGGATTGTATGGCAATGTAGAAGGGGCCTAAGTCTTTTGAGACAAATTTCCTATCCAAAAACTAGGAAAAATCAATGCTCAATATATCTTTCAGTTTAAGAGCAATGTTAGGAGTGCCTCACAGATACAGTAAATGCAAAGCTAAGAATGTTACTTTAATAGACTTGCCCCACAACCAGGAAAAAATAGTGCTTATTCAATGTAACAAATTGTGCTGCTTTCAACTCTTTCCCCATGCATCCACTTTTTAACTTTTGTTTTTGGACTTTAGGGTTCCATTAAAGAGGCCCCAATTTGCCTTGCCTTGCACCATGAACCAGCTGAGCCTAACTGCATTGCTAGAGAAAGTTTCCTGTAAATTGACCCATATCTGTTTGTTGCTGATATCAACAGATGGGGTGGGATCCTATTGAGTTGATGGTGTTTTTCCTGCATGGCAGGGGGTTGGACTGGATGGCCCATGTGGTCTCTTCCAACTCCATTCTTCTATGAGTCTATGAAGTAGAACAAACCCACTATACCAATATTTGAATGGGGAATCAATGTGGAGTTAAATTCCATGAAATTCCCATTCCAATTTTAAGTAAAATCAGGATTCAGGCGAGAGGCATTTTTGATGCAATAGAGATGAGAAAGACAATGCTGCTAATAATTTGAGGTTAATCTGCTTGTGGTGGCATCACTTAGCACTGTTTTAATTGGCAACAATACCAGTTCATTTTTGTTCATTTTTAAAAATCAAAGCAACTTTTGAAAATAAACTGTTCCAGGCCCTAAGAAACAAAGCATCCTGGCACTGAGGATTACAGATATGTATTAATTTTGAGCATAATTGGTTTCAGAGGGACAGCTACGTGGAGGGGGCAAATGAGGGTGTAATGAACTCATACCTTTTCTTCGTAGGCTGCAGCCTGGAAGTCAGTGAGCTGGCCTCCATGTTGGGAAGGCAGCTCAGGATGGCTGACATGATGGTATAGGCAGAGAGGCAAGGGGAGGAGTCAGCTAACTCCTGATTGGTTCAGACCCCAAGGGGAGGAGTTGAAGGAGAGTGTAAATAGGCTGTCATTTCTGACAGAAGAGAGAGAGAAGGATTTGATCTAGCAGAGAAAGGATTAGGATTTCAGACAGGGAGAAGAGAGTTTCTTAGTGAGCTAGGAATTAGCTTGTTAGGGAATAATTAAAGAGCAAGTGCTTCTGTATAGTTTGACTAGGGCAGTCAAAGTGAAGGCTTGTTTACTTGTATTAGGACTAAATACAAGTGGGTTTATTTCCCTAAAGTTCAGAGTAGTCCAGGGGAAACCTAGATATTCTGGAAGGCAGCCGCGGCGGCTGGTCAAAGAATCGCACTGTTACATATTACAGGATAGTGTGAGGAAAGTAGCTCATGTTAAGGAAGAGTTACTCCTTCTAAAGAAACCATTTGCTTAATAAGTCTGTGCTTCAGAATCAAACTACACATATGTACCTCTCAGTAGTCAGTTGTTTGCTTCAAATACTTCAATAAACCTGTTCTCTAGTTTACTGTTAATCTGCCTCAGCCTTGTTTCATCATATAAGGTTAGATGCAGTAAGCCTCCACATCTCTACAGTTCAGTCACCAGAAAGGGAGCCAAAAGGAAGAGCCGGTGTATAGGGACATTTTACCTCAAGTAAACAACAAGACAATTCCTCAAACTGTAATTTGGGGTGGTGGCAGCAAACCTACCATTACACACACACCGTTCTCTCTCATCATCTGTAATTCCCTCGTATATTCCTTTTACAGAGGGCATTGCCTCCTTAAGTAAGAATTCTGCTTTCCGAATGACATTTTTCTTCAGTCCAAAACTTCTAACACTGTGAATAAACTTTATTCTTAAATAACCTTCAAAAACTACTGTTTTCAAATAGTATTTTCTGGATGAAATTATTTTACATAAAAGTTTCTTGTGGATTTTTTGTGTGTGCAGAAAGCAGTATTTTCTGTACAGAAACAGCCTTTTGTACTCAGAAAACAGAAAAACATTATTTTCTTTGCTGAAAGCCTATGCAGAAAATGTTGTTTTCTGTACAACCATTGTGTGAAT